GGTCGTAGTGAGGATCGAAGCCAGGACCTCTGAGCCATATCCTTAACCCTTCCATTTCTACTCTTCTGAGAAGCTTTCCCCAACCAGTAAACTTCACTTACAGCCCATAAAGTTCACTTGGGCCTCACTCTGGGGATCCGGGCGGTTTTCTATTCTGAGCCACTCTTTGCATACCCATAGCCCTGGCTTCCATGCCTCGCCAGAGCACTGAATGGTGCAAAAGTGGCTGCAGAGGCAGAAGCTTCGATTCGGAGAGTCTGAGGTCAGGTGACCGGGCTTAACTGTAAATCTCATTTACCTCAGCGACCAGTTTATTTAAAAAATAAAAATACACTTTGAAAGTTAACTGCTCCAAGCCACACAACAATTAGCCTGTTTTCCCTGTATCAAATTGCTAGAGGAAACGAAAGACATCACAGCTACTCTCTGCGGAACAGTGCTTTCAGCTATCTGATCTTCAAACCGCCGGCTGCAACTTTTCCTCTGGTTTTGAGTTCTCTCACCTTTGGTGAGATGCAGAAAAACACCCTCGCCACTCTAAACTCACCACAGGGCTAGGCACAGCGGATATCCTGTGCAGCCCCGCAACGTTTTAGGGTCAAGGGAGGGGACTGCTCAAGATAAGCCCGCTCCGCAGAGCCTGAGTCACTAACCGCGGTCGCAGTCCGGATGCCCTGCCCACGCCCTCGCGTCACTACCGAGTTGGAAAGTTTCCCGTGAGCCCGCAGGCGCGGGAGGACTACGACTCCCGGCATGCTCCGCGGCTGACGGAATTAACCTTTCAGGGCCCGGAGCCGCGCTGCCTTCGGTCCCCGCCCCTTACCTGGACCCTGCAGGGTGAGTTTTGGGGGACTGGGGAGGGCTTCTTTCCTTTAAGGCTTAGGGATATGCGTGCGTAAGATGGATGCATTATTCGCGGGAGGAATGATTTTCTTATTTTCCAAAATTAAGACAATTTGCTGTAATGAGATTCAGAGGCTTTTTTGCAAATGGGAACCCAGCATCAATCTGAACCCCAGGGCCCAAGTGGAATCACTACTCTCTTCCTCAGATTGCTGCCTAAATCCTCTCCTTTTTTTCCCAGAACAAAAGTAGCCAGCACCCCTTCCTCACACCCCCAACTTTGTCCCTTCTTCTCTGCCCCACCCCGCACCCCGCAAGGTTTTGTAACCTGGAGCCAGAGTCAGGGCTTTTATTATATCCTTGGTTGGGGGATGAGTACTCATGGAGCCCATAGGAGTTTCCATATCTTTTTGGATTACAGAATCTAGGCCTTTTGTCTCCTAGAGCGGCCCTTACCCCCAGGTGCCACCAGGGATTCCCTGCATTTTCAGCAAGCACCCTACCTTTTGTCTGACTTGAATGATTGTGGGCTTGTGGAAGAAGATTCCTTCTTTGGAAGTATGGGTATGGGTGGTAGGTGTTAAACCTGATTCTTAGCTGTACCCCCACCCCTAAATCAGTACTAGATACAGGAGACAATGGAGAGCCTCACCCTCCCCTATTACTATGCACAGTTTCAGGCCTAGACTGGGGGGCCCAGAGACTACAAGTACTGGGAATTATTAGACTATGGGGTCAGCTATCCCTGCCCCTCATTCATGGTTAGGGGGGCTGGACAGGCTGCTTGTTTTTTCACCTTTCACTGTTTCCAGACCATCCTTTAAATGTTCCCACTTCACACAAACCTCTCCAGGCTCTCCCCCCCTCCCCGACTCCCACCCCTCCCTGAGCTTTCTAGAGTCTAGAACTTCTGGCTTCACTCCTTTGCTTCACCCCTATCTCAGTGTCACTGGCAAGCATCCTATCCTTACTCAGGAGGTTAACTCCCTCATTCTGGGCAGTCTCTGGCTTACTCCCTCTGCCCCCAAAGGGAACAATATTCTGGTCATCTTTTGGGGAGGAGTGGGCAGAGGAAAGAAAACCTTGGGGCAGGAGTTCTGAACCATAGTAGGCCAGGGGAGTGAGGACAGGCAGGCATATCTCTCCTACCTCACCCTCACCACTGCCAACTGGCTCCCTGCCCCTGCCCCCGCCCCTTGACATCCCAGACTCCCTGGCTATTTAAACAGAGATGGGTGCCCCCATCAGCACACTGTCCTTTGGTCACCGGACATCATGCCTCCCAAGAAGGATGTTCCCGTGAAGAAACCAGCAGGGCCCTCCATCTCTAAGCCTGCTGCCAAGCCAGCAGCAGGGGCCCCTCCAGCCAAGACCAAGGCTGAGCCTGCTGTTCCCCAGGTGCCTGTGAAAACCCAGGAGCCCCCTGTGGATCTCTCCAAAGTGGTGGTGAGTCCCCAGAAAGCGACAGTGTGGAGAGAGTGATTCAGGGTCTGATTCTGCCTAGAGGATTAGGGAGTACATAGAAGGTAGGGATGAATGAGATTGGGGGTTCCTTGCAGTCCCCTATTGGGCTTATGATTCTGCTGTTGTCTTTGCTGTTGTCTGTCCTTCTATCCTATGACATATGTGTACCATATATACATACTTGCTGACCCCCTGGTGGAGGCAGGGACTGTGAGGTGGGGAACACCTGGGTTCTGGGGACAGTTTCAAGGTGAAGGCAAGGAGCTGCTGCCTGCTTCTGGCTGGCTATTCAATTCAAAAGGCCACAGATTTGAACCCCAGGAGGGGAGGCTGAAGAGGACAGGCTTGTTAGACAATCACAGCTGGGGGCCAGGGGTAAATTTAGCCTTTGTTCAGCCCCCAGTTATGTGAGGGATGCAGGGCCCAGGGCAGTGGAGGGAGGGAAACAGGTGGCATGGGATTAACCCTGTTCCCAGGAAACCCTCCCCACTATAATTCCTCCTCTTGGGATTCTCCCAAGGCCCAGAGCTGGGAATGGGACTGAGGTGGCTGGGCTCCCAGCTTGGTCCCTTTGGGCCTCTCCCCAGAAGTGGCTGCCAGCTGGTTGGGAGGAGTGCTGGAGCGGGATTGAATAAACCCTGTCATCTCTCCTCACCTGCTCTTTTCTTCCACAGATCGAGTTTAACAAGGACCAGCTGGAGGGTGAGGAGAAGCTGGTTCCTTAAGCCCACTGTCCAGTCCCAAGCAACCCTGCTCACATCCCTTCTCTGTTCCCATAACTCCAGTCCCGACCTTGAAACCTCCCACACTAGTCCTTTTTCCAACTTTGTTGCACCCAGGTCTACCACACCATTTCTGATCCTGTCTTGAGGGGGGGCGGTGGAGGAATGGGCACCACTGATCAACACTGATCCCTCCTTACATCTCAGAGTTCAAGGAGGCCTTTGAGCTGTTTGACCGAGTAGGCGATGGCAAGATCCTGTACAGCCAGTGTGGGGATGTAATGAGGGCTCTGGGTCAGAACCCGACTAACGCTGAGGTGCTCAAGGTCCTGGGGAATCCCAAGAGTGATGGTAAGAGGAGCTTTGGAACAAGTGGGTTTTCTTTTTTTTTTTTTTTCGCAGGAGCTCTGGGAGATCAAACCCAGGGTTTTATGCATGCTACCCAAGCATTCTACCACTGAGCTGCATACTCAGTCATCAATTTGCAATGGTAGAATGTTGGTAAGGTGACAAAGAATGCTGGGGTGGATCTCAGGACTTCAAAAACTTAAACAAAGGGGCAGAAAAACATCCTGAATGCTGAAGGGGACGAAAGATGTGGTAGGGATGAGAGCTGGGTCCTGGGTGATACCACAATGACCTCTCTCACCTCTTTCTGACCTCCAGAGCTGAAGACCAGGCGCGTGGACTTTGAGACGTTCCTGCCCATGCTCCAAGCAGTGGCCAAGAACCGGGACCAAGGCACATATGAGGACTACTTGGAAGGGCTTCGGGTGTTTGACAAGGAGGGGAATGGCAAAGTGATGGGCGCAGAGCTCAGACATGTCCTCACCACCCTGGGTAAGGCAGGGACCAGAAATTGAGGAGAGAGTAGATCAGTAAGAAGGTTGGCAAGCTAGGCAGAGCCAGGGAGGGGATTATTATCTTGCAGGTCATAGACAGTAGATTGAGAAGGTCAAATCCATGAGGGCAGAATCTGAGGGACTTCTCAACACTAAAATGCTTTCCAAAATGGACAGAAAGAGAATGTGGTGGAAGCCCTAAAGTTCTAGCTTTGGAAGCAATACTTGTGCTCTGTGATTCCATTTAAGTCAATCCTTGGGGCTTCAATTTCTTGTCAAAGGTTTCACTGGGTCCTAGACACTGTGTTCAGGCTGATGATATGGAAAGCAAGATTCAGGGTGGGAAGAGCTGGCCCGGTTAGGAGAGGGAGGAAAGGCAGGGGGCTCCAATGCTGTGTTTGGGATTCAGGAGAGAAGATGACTGAGGAGGAGGTGGAGACGGTTCTGGCAGGACATGAGGACAGTAATGGCTGCATCAACTATGAGGGTAAGGGTAGTCAGAGGCGCAGAGGGTCCAGGGGTGGAAGAGGAGTGCCGGGTGGGAGCGGGGCAACCTGGATTACCTACAGTTGGATGGATTATCCAAGGGTCTGCTTCTGAAGCCTTCTTGCCTGCTCTCTCTGCAGCCTTCCTGAAGCACATCCTAAGCGTCTGAGCTCTACAGGTAGGCCCTCCAGCCTCCCCAGCCCGGCTTGAGGGGCAAGACTCCTCTTCCCTCGGCCAGCAAGAAAGCAGGGGAGTGCGTTTTCCTGTCCAATCACTGCGCAAGCGCCAGGGCTTGGCAACTTTCATTTTTTTCCACAGATCCTGTGGGGCCGGCTTGCCTTCCCTCTCCCAGGCAGACGGAGGCACGTTTCTGCCACTAGGCGGCCACCTATTGTGTCAAAATAAAGACATGGTTCCTTGCTTGGTCTCAGACTTGTTTTCTTCAGAGGAATGGGGTAGGAGTAAAGGGTGGGCCCTCTCCTCTCCCAAAGCTGATATCCTCGGATCTTTAGGGTGTTCGGAGAAGCGGACACTGTGCACTCCACCCCACCCCCTTGCGCGGCTTCTGCGCCCAGGTAGGGCTGCAGCGCAGAAGGGACCACAGCCGGCCCGCCCACCTCGTTACAGATGCAGCATTGTCATCTGCATAAATCCGGACCGGGGTTCCTATTGGCTGAATTCGAGGAGGGTGACGTCATTAGGACGTACTAAGACTAGGGTTGGCCTTGGAGTCGGAGCCATTACTGCAGGAAAAGGTCCCGCAGAGCTGAGCAGTCAAGATGGTGGGGCCCGAGGCCTGGGGATAAACGGGATGTGGGGCGAGGAGGGGAGGCAGGGGTCGGGGGCAAAGGGGGCCTGAGGGCTTGAAAGGTTGGCGATGGGGTTGGAAAGTTTAGGGCCCAGTCCTGCGGGGAAGAGAGTCTCCAGCGTGAACAACAGGAGTTTGTGGGACTGGGATGTTCGCTTGTGGGATTGGAATTCAGATGCTGACCACTCCCTTCTTCTCCGAGCAGTGTGACTTCACGGAGGATCAGACCGCAGGTAGGCAGTCTCTGATCCCAACTGAGGTCGCCCTTAGGGAGAGGGACACCCCCCTGGCACTTATCCTCTAACCCCAACCTGTCATCTTTCTCGCACCCCCCCCAGGAAAGTACCTCCTGGATTCCCTTCTCCCTTCCTCCTGCGTCCTCCATTTTCTTTTCTCATTCTTTCTTCCTTCCCCTTCCACTCTAGATCTGAGCCCCAAGCACTGGGTGAGTTTTAGGTGCTGTGGGTATGTGAAACAACTTGAGTTACCTCATGCCTGATTATGTGGGATTTGGGGAGGGTGTATTAAGCTGTTTGTGCTCCTCTGTCCCTTAATCAGTGACTTCTGCTTCTTCTGTTGTCCTGTTGGCAACTGTCCTCCTCCCCTAGCTTGGATTTGTGAAGATTGCAAAGAGTGACCTAATATTTTTGTGAAGTTGGGGACTGGGAGAGTATGCTAAGGATTAACTGCAGCTCCACCCAATGGAAGGTCTCTTTGTAGAGGAAGGGTGGGAAGTGGCAGGCTAGAATGACCCCAGGCCACTGCTCTCACTTCCTTATAAGGTCTGGACCCAGATGGGGCGGTGGCAAATTCCTGCCCTRAGTAGTGTAGTAGTAGTGAAGAGGCTGGGCCTGACCTGCTGTAGGCAGAGGGGGGTGTATATATAATATTACTGTGCTGACAAGGTGGGGATGGGAGAAAGACTGTATTTTTAATTGGGACATTTGAGTTGGGAGAAGTAGATTGTTCTTAGCTGACTTGTGAGTGCAGCAGGGTAGTATCTGGTTTCCAGAGTGTGATCAAAGTTGACCAGGCAGCAGATCACTCTGAAGTAGGATCTGAGTTGACCCCCTCATTCCAAGTGCTCATGTTCACTTGAATCCTCAGAATTCAAGGAGGCCTTCCAGCTGTTTGACCGAACAGGTGATGGCAAGATCCTGTACAGCCAGTGTGGGGATGTGATGAGGGCTCTGGGCCAGAACCCCACCAACGCCGAGGTTCTCAAGGTCCTGGGGAACCCCAAGAGTGATGGTGAGCATCCTTATGAACAATTCAGTGTGGTAGGTCCACAGTACTTCAGCTGAACTTTATTGCCATAGGACCCAGGCTCAACCAAATCTTGTCTTGATTAGCAAATCCCACAGAATTCCTCTTTGGATGGGAACATCTGTTGTGACCCCCATAATTCCCTCTCCTGGGGAATTTCGTGACTTCTCTGGCTGACACTTTTCCACTTCCCATGACAGAGATGAATGTAAAGGTGCTGGACTTTGAGCACTTCTTGCCCATGCTGCAGACTGTAGCCAAGAACAAGGACCAGGGAACCTATGAAGATTATGTTGAAGGTCTTCGGGTGTTTGACAAGGAAGGGAATGGTACTGTCATGGGCGCTGAAATCCGTCATGTCCTTGTCACATTGGGTAAGGCCTGTGCCCTTGTCCTGGAACTAAGGTGCCACCCTGAGGTACTTCACTTGCCACCCAAATCCAAAAATGCACTTTCACTCTCTGTAGGTGAGAAGATGACAGAGGAAGAAGTGGAGATGCTGGTGGCGGGGCATGAGGACAGCAATGGTTGTATCAACTATGAAGGTGAGGGGTAAATTGGGGGCTTTCACAGTTAGCATATAGCGGGCATATTATGGACAGCTTCTGGGGCTTTCCTTGTCCCTGGATTTGGGCTCCAAAAAGAGCCAGGAGGCAAGAGGCAGGGCCCAGCCCAGCCAGGAGTGGGGAGTTTGTGCAGGGGGCAGGGGCTGGGATAACGGGAAAGTAAGGGATAAAGAAGGGCAAAGGAATGGGAAGTAAATGGAATGTCTGTTTCCCCACTGCCTGAACCCTTCACCCCATGTCTGTGTCTTGTCTTCACCATTAATGTCTCTTCCTTCCTGCAGCGTTTGTGAGGCATATCCTGTCGGGGTGACGGGCCCGTGGGGCGGGTACGGCTCCTCCCAGCCTCTCCTTCTGTAGATGATCTCCCCCAGTGTTTCTTTTTCTTCCCAAACTGTGCTCTCTAGCCCTTGCCCTTACCCTACTACCATCTGACTTCTTTCTGGCATGTTTGTGCATGGAGCTGGCTAGGGAGGGGAGGGATTCCTCAAAGAGGAAGGCAGCTTGGGGGTATGGTACCTCCCACCTCTCTCCTAGAATGGTCTGAGATTTTGCTTATAGGGCCCTGGGTACTGGTGTCTGGGAACTCACACCAGCCTATAGCTAATCTTGCTTTCGGGTAGTCCTTTGGCCCTGGAGCATGGAGAATTGGCATAGGTGGGTAGGCTGCCTGCCCCATTCTGCTGCTATAGCTGAACAGCCCTATCCCCATCCCTCTGCTGGGCAGCTTGGAGGTACCCTAACCCAAAACTCTGTCCTCTCCTCCCTCCAGTGGCTGATAGTAGCTGTAGGTGTAGTTGAGAACCTTTCTGCCTCTGCTGTGTTCTTGCTGCTCAAGGTGGGGTGGTGACTAACAGCTGGTGGGAGGGAAGCCAGGGCCAGAGAGAACTGATTAGACTTAAGGTGGCTTTTCTGCAAACTGACCCCAAGGTTGGTTGCTATGGGCATGCTCCCTCTCATGCTACCTTCATGGTCTTGTAGTTTCCTGGTCCATGGTGTAACCCCTCCCCAGCCCTGTTCCCTGGGCTCACCCCTCCTTTCATTTCCACAGAGCTTGTCCGGATGGTGCTGAATGGCTGAGGACATTGCTGGTATTCCCTGAGCCTGTGCCTTGCCCTGTATGAGATTTGTATGGTGACCCTGGAGGCTTCCTAGGCTCCCCTGTCAAAACACCTTTCCCACCTGGTCTTTCATGGATGATGTTTGCCATAAGCATTCACCAAATAAACCTGTTTTTTGGCCTACATTTCAGTTCTACTTTTCTTCCTAAGCAGGGTTAAATGGGGAAAAGGTGAGATGGTGATGATTTCTGCCCTGAGACAGAGAGAGCCCAGAGCCCAAGAACAGTGGGCCAGAGTTTGGGGGAAAGTTGGAAAGGGCCTTGTACTGATATTGAAATGTTGCATGTTGCAAAGGCAACCCCCCTGGGGATCAGGAAAGCGGTAGATCCCTAAATCCTTATTGGACCAAGCCTTTTTTTTTTTTTTTCTGGCAGGGGAGGGTATCCTTCAGTTCCATCCCATATCAGGCTGAATCTTCTGGCCTTCAGGCTCCTTAAACCTATCCCCCACCCTTCTAAGCAAGGAAGGCCTTTTGTGGGAGGAGCCTGGGATTGTTGACTAGGGCTAAAGCCAAGCCATGTTAGCACTTCCTGAGCCTGTCCATCACACTGGCAGGGCTGGGGGCCAATAACAACAGAAGTGAGAGACTGCTTCCTCCCTAATAAGGGAAGGAATGAAGCTTCTACTTCTAAAGGATAAAGATACAAAATCTCTATGTTATGGGCATGTCCTTCCAAGTCTCAAGCAGCTATTTTTAGGGCAGGTGAGAGTCTCTGCTGCTACAGCAGTGCCCAGTCCTGACAGCTCGTCTGCCTTCAGTGGAGAACCGCACAGTGTCTGTAGGCCTTGTAGTTTGCAAAGTGCCTCTCCAGCCCCGTGAATGGTGAATGCCCCTGTGAGGGACTCTAGGAATGCTGCCCCCAGCCCAATCCCCCTGCCTAACAGTCACAGGTAAGAGAACACAGAGGCATCCACAAGATGGAACTGAAAGCAAATTAATTTATAAAAAAAAAAAAAAAAAGAGAAAAAAGAAAGAAAAAAGGGAAGAAAAGAGAAAATTTACAGAAAACTTTGAACAGAAGAAAGGTGCCAAGATGCACAGGAAGAGAAACATGGGGACATGAGGAACAAAGGGCCTGGTAGGAGGAACCAAGAACTGGTGTAGAGCCTGGAATCCCACTTGCCTCCATGTCAAGGGGCAGGGGGAGGAGGGGGGCACCTGGAATGGAGAGGCACTAGAATCCAGGGAGCAAAGCCAAGCTGTGATGTTCCCAAACCTGGGTCCTCATCTGGAGAAACCCTATTAGTGAGGTCTACCAGTCTTGGTGGGAGCGGGCAGAGTTTGGGAGTGCCCCAGCCAAGTCTTAAGAAGGAGGTGCTTAAGTGCTTTTCGAAATCTTCAGGTTTTAAAAAGTTCCCATTGTCTTACAGCTCCCCCTTCCATACCTCGTAGAAGCTTATGGATACAACTCCGAGAAGGGAGGAAGAACAGCTCCTAGCGCCCTTTCTTCTCTTACCTACCACAGGAGTCCCCCCCCAAAATTATTTACCCACCAAATACACATACGCTGACATCAACTAAGCAGGTGACTTTTAAAACAAACACGAAACTGACATTCAGAGGGAAAGGGATCAGTGGCTGAGTTAGGGCGGCCTAAACAGCCACTTTGAGGAAGCAGGAGAGAATGGGTAGAATGATCAGGCAGTGGGTGAGGGGAGCTGACTCAGTTATTCCCAAGGGGCTTGGGGTGAAAGGTTTGGAACCTTACTCCATCCCCAGAGCTCCCCTTAGAACCGTAATTTCCCTTTCTTAAAACTTACCCTCCCCCCTCAAAAAAAGTGTAAAAGTTGGTTGTTTTTTAGTGAGCTAAAGGGAGCTCCAATGTGGCTTTTTAAAATCTTCCTTTTGAAGGGCTTAATTTTTTTTTTATCTGTAAAAAAATGCAGTAGTTTTGAGGGGGGTGCACCCTTAGAAGTGGTTAAGTAGAACCTTGTATAAACACCCTTCCCCTGCCCTTCCTTCCTTTGAGGGCAGCAATCCCATCCCATCCTCTCTCCCAGACATTAGAAACATCTTTTAAACAGAAGTCCTTGAATAATCCAATATAAAAGTACATGCCTCTGCTGGGCATGGAAGGGGCTGTGGAGGGGCAGGAGGAGCTTTCCTTACGTAGTGATGAACTCTCCAGCTGGGGAAGGGTCCCAGTGGGGAAGGGCTGTTCCTGGAACTGTGATCTCCATGGGGGGCAAGGGGGAGAGATGTCTGGCTGGATCCTCACTGTGAAGGTGGTACAGGGGTGACTGTCCCTGGACTTGGGGCCGTGGGGTCTGGAGGCAGGGGAGTGCCTGGGTCTGTGGAGAAAAGGAAGAGGAATCAGTTGGGATAAGCAGCTGAGAGGGATATAGACCCAGGTTCCACATACAACCAACCAGGCAGGGCATGCAGTGGGTGGGTAGATGAATGAGGTACCCACAGTGTACAACTTCCTTTTCCCAAAACCCTCTTCTACCTCACCATTGGAAAAACTGGTAATACCCTAAGTCATCTCTTGCCCCAAAGGAACTCTAAATGGGGCATTGAATGTGATGGGAACAAGCAAAGGGATGCTAATCATCATGCAAATAGACAGCTGTGTTTCAAGTTTACGACTGAGATGCTCTCTGCCACAGGACTCCTCCGTGACCCACCAGTGAAAGGCCCAAACGTCATCCCAGAGTTGGCAGCTGCCAGGTTGGGGAATGGTAGAGGACAGCCAGAAAGGCCCTTCCTCCTGCATTCTAATTTTACCAGAGTATTCAAAAAAAGATTGTGGAAATTCTAGTACCTGACCCCTTTAGTACCAACCCTCCCTCCCTCCATGTGGACCCCTCTCCCTCACCCTTCTCCCCTCTTAGCCCCTTCTCACCTGGCAGTGGGCTGGCACTGGGCAGGAGGTTGCCCTGAACAGCTGCCACAATGGCAGGGCTCTGGGCTGCGGCGGATCCGAGCCCCGGCCCGAGAGGCAAGGAAGATGGCATGGTGGTGGTCGCCGGCAGGTTAGGATGTAGAGGGTTCGCCATGGACACAGGCAGGTTAGGTGGGGGGAGTGTGCCCGGGGCGAACGGGAGATGGTGATGATGCCCATGCAGGTTAGGAGGAGGGGTAAGGTTAATACTGATGGAGTCAGCTAGACTACCAAATGGGATGATGGATGGAGCAGGAGGAGGAGGAGGCGGCATGCCAAAAGGCAAACCCAAAGGAGCATTACCCGCCACGCCTGGGTGCCCGCTGCCTGGCACTGCCCCTGGCATCATTGAGGGAGGAGTTTGTTGGTTGGGGAACGGTGAGGGGCCTGGCAATGAAGAGAGAGGAAGGTTAGAGGAGTAAAATCTCACTCACCTATTCACTTTCACAACAAGGACACTCTAGCCACTGCTTGGTGCCACATTCCATTTTCCTGACACTAGAATAAAGGGTACCTCTTAGAACAAAATTCCAAAGGTCTGGGTTTGGGGAGAAATGCCTGCTGGCTTAAGGACATAATAGAAATAGGACCATCTATAAGAAAAAGCTAATCCATTATCTCTAGGCCCATCATGTCTTCCCTCTGCGGGCAACTGTGATGTTCACCTGGCTCCTGGTGAGCCAGTTCCCAAACCTACCACTTACCATGGGGTCCAGGGGGGGGTACCCCTGGTGGGACTGCCCCAGGCTGGGGGGCTCCAGTTGGTTGTGGCTGCTGTGGCCCTGCTGTTGGTCCTGCCTGCCCAATCTGTTCAGAAGGGCCCAAGCTTCCAGGAGGGGCCCCACTGCCAGCAGGAGCAGGGGCCACAGAGGCTGGAGCCACAGCTAGGCCATGAACTGTGGGTGGCCCAGCAGCCCCTGAGGGGGGTATGGGCTGGGAGCCTGGAGGCAGGGTTGGTGGTGGCTGCTGCTGCTGTTGGTGCATCTGCTGGAAGTGCTGCTGCCGTGCCCTCATCTCTGCATACTTCAGCTGCTCCATGTGGAAGGCTTGTCGGTCTGCCAGGAGCTGCTGCCTCTGATACTCCAGCTGCCAGTGGCAATTCAATGTTGTTATTGGCTTTTCATATGACCCCTAGGCAAATGTCTCACTCTCTGCTTTCTCAAAGACCCCATCTCCATGCTGGTGCTTCCCCAAATCTAACCCTTGTGCTTCCTCTGTTCCCCCCCCATTTCACCTCCTGTAAATTCCATGACCTTTTTTGACTCCTTGCTGCCCACATCACTTCTTACTGCATTCTAGTCACTCTGGTGGTAGCCCTGGCTCATTTCAGCTCCCAAATTAACTTACTATTACCTTGATTTGGAAAATGTTTCCAGTTCTTTTCAACTGAAGTTCTTTTCTTCCTCCAAAATTGTCTAGAAACTTACTATTTTTAAGAAGCCATCCGAGCTCAATTCACTAGCCTCTGAGCTTTGACTTTATTCTGTGATTTCTCAGGCCTATATACTGGATACAAAACCTCTCAATTTGAACTGGCCAGATACTTTAAGCATTGTTAACTGTTTCAGATGTCTCCCTATCGTACATTTGATGTCTCCAACTAAAATTCTGAGGGTAGGATCCCTATCTTCTATTTCTTTTAAAGTCCTTTCAGAAACAAATTGGTTCAATAACCTGTCTGGCCCATTCCCTTTCCAAGTTCATGTTTTGAATCTGAAATCCCCAACCTCTCATCATCTCTCCAACCCATTCAATAACTTGACAAAGATTCATTGAGTCTACTATGGGGCAAACCAAACTCTGTTCTAGGACCTAGAGATGCAGTAACCAAAAAGCCTGACTGGCATCTCTGATCCATAGAGCTGACTTTTGTAGGACCTCAATCTACAGCTTCATTTATGAGGCCACTTTTCCTTGATTGCCTGAGACTGGCTCTCTCTGCCTTGACCTGCTGCTCTCCCTTTTGCTTTAGAGCCTTGTCATTCTCAGGCTTTCTATCCTACTGTTTCTCCCTCTCCCTCTCCCTCTCTCCTCCTTTTTCTCTCTCACACCCAGTTCAGTCTCTAGATGTGGTTCCAAGCTCCTGATGACCCCCTAGGGGAGGCTACTCACTGCTTCCCGCTCCCGGTCCATTATTGTCTCCAGCTCCTCAAAGTGCCGGAGTTTGATCTCCAGTTTTTTCATCTGGGTCTCCACCAGCAGGGCCACCAAAGATTTGATCTTTCTTTCCTCAACAGCAG